TTGACAGTGTAAAGGTTGGGTGGGTGGGTGGGTTCAACTCCAACACAAGACAAGATGATTGAAGAAGCCTAGCTTTTATTAGTATAAGTTGTATAACCACCTAATTAAGCCACAAAAAAATTGATGATGTAAAGTTAAACGAATAATTAAATTAATTATTATTACATCAAAAGGAGAATGGTTCTAGACCATTTCACACATTAGTTTTTTTGAGCTTCACAGCATTACTTTGAGCTTGATATAAGTTAAGTGAAGGGAAGGGCTCTTAAGTTAGGTACCACTTGGGTCAAATCAAATGTCATTGTCGCCTAGAACACAACTTTTAGCATTTTTGTTTTTTTATTAGTAGCTTTTGGTCTAATTTCATGCATACACACACACTACCAACACAATTTTTGCAAATTATCTATTTTGTTCTACCTTGTGAGAAATTATCATTTCATTTCAATACTATTTTTTTAGTCTCTCTCTGCCCGTTAAATTCTATCTATTTTAGCTAGCTTTGAGGGTGGGTTTTAAGGGTAACCTACTTGGAGAATATATTCCTCACCAGAACCTTACCTTACTAAGATGTTATATAATTTTTGGACTTGACTATGGTAATTTTTATAATTTTTATTTATTTTAATAGGTATTTTTATAATATTTGTGGGTTATTTTATAACAAAAAAATTTACCACTTTTGTGAATATTTTTACCACTTTTATAATTAATTTATTATATTTGTGGATATTTTAATTTTATTATTATTGCTATGATAACTATTTTTATAATTTTTTTGGATACTACACCAGTGATAAAAAGCTTACAAATATAATAAAATGATAAAATTGTGCTTTAAAAATTTGTTTATCAAATCTTATATCTCAAATAATATGTCAAAATTCTATGCATTGAATATTTGGTAAAATTAATAAACCTTATTAATTCAACCAACTGTATTAATTTGAGATACAAAATTTAACAATAATTTAATCAGTACAACGTTACTCACAAGTCACAATAACAAATGTAATAAATGTAGTAATAATGCCGAATTTTCTTTTTGCAACATAGTCAACTCCATGGTCAAGATAATACAAAAGAAAAAAGAAAAGGAGAAGGAAAATTCGATATCGGTCATTTGGATTTGGGGATAATCAGGATGACGATAGACAGCGAAACAGCACATGACGTCACCTAATAGATGTCATCAACAACTACAATAGCCATTACGTCATACGTTGGCGGTACGAACGTAAACAAGGGCAACGTGAATCCGTAATGGGATTACTAATTATCAAAACGCTCCCCATCTGATTAGACATCTAACCTAACCTCAATCCCGGTCGTCAGGGCATTTCAGTCATTCCGTGGCACAGACCTCAACTCTATAAATTCTTCATGCTGGAACAACGTGAAAACCACCAAGATCTAGAAATTAAGTTGAACACGTACGCTGTACGTAGCCAATTTTGGTTTGGTCCGACTGACCAGAAATCGCATGCCGTTTCACCTTTTTTTCACAAACCATCGTCATCTTCAACATTCGTCACACACACATGGAAAACGAGAAGACTAGTGTGAGAAAATTTAATGCTTTCAAACTTGCAGAAGATCAAAATGATCTGCCGGAGCCGGAGCCGGAGGAAGAGAAGATGGAGAAGTTCTTTGCGTTGATAAAAAGCTTCAACGACGCACGTAATCGCCGAAGGAATGAATTGATGATCATCAATGAAATGGAGAAGAAGAAGAACAAGAGAAAGAGGCCGGAAGTTGATCTCCAACAATCAAGTTGGGTTCCATCGTTCAAATGGGAAGATTTTACGGAAGAGATTGAATTCAGAAGGCCTCCTTTGATTTTCCCTGATCCTTGTAACAGCAGACAAGTCCAGAAAGATCAACAAGATTGCTTAGACCTCAATCTGACTCTCTAGTCTAGATAGAGTTTTTGTCTCTTTCAATTAATGTGATCTTATGGCTTTTATTTTCTTTTACAAGAGGAGAACCTGCAGGCTTTGCATGTGATTGATTGATGCATATTGTTTTCTGAAAATAGCAATTAACAGGTAGGCAGAGACATTTAAGGTTGGCCAGGGATGATTGTTCTCAATGCATGACGACATTCAGGTAGACAGAGGTAGTGGGAGTTCACTTTCGATGGTTCTTATTAACTCATCATCTCTAAGGGAAAAAAGATGACTTTAATAAGTACCAGTACAAAGTATAAATAAAAATGGAAAAAGAGGAGGCGATGAAAGGAAAAGAGATCAATAAATACCTGGCTCTTTGTTTAGAAGACAAATGGATTAAAGCAAAAGGAGCGTTTAGGTAGGGCCGCCTAGCTGGAAAGACGTGTGGCGCACTAGGTACGTTTTTAGTAGAAATTAGTATATCCTTTTGATTGAAGAAGATGTGTTTTTTGTTCGATCGGAGCTGGCACAAATAACCTAGAAGTACACAAGTGAAAGATGTTGGGCCCAATTATGAAATGTTTTTCACCGAAGGCCTGGCCTCAGCAGGCTTTTCCTGTGTTCCCGCTGACAGACACAGGAGCCATTTTGCAAGAGAATGAATGAGGAATTGGTCCAGGACCCAAAACCAAAGTCCAATCCAAAAAAAAAAAAAAAATGGAGTTGGAGGGAGATTCATGTCTATGTCGGGGACAGCACTGCATCTGCAGTGAGTCAAGACAAGAGGAACCATTTAATTTAATCAGATCACACCTATTACCTAAACCTACGGAACCTAAATGTTACATTTTTCAAATCTTTTATGAAATTTTAATAATAAAAATATTATTAAATGAATTGGGATAGTTATTAAATTTTGTAAGGTTCACTTCCCTACCCTACCCTAGCCTAATATATCATTAGATCCCAACCTTTCTCTGAGGTAAATATATTGGAACATTATGACTTTTCCGGAGATAACACCCTGGTGGTGCAAGAAAATAACGTTTGAGCATAAATAACCTCTTTGGGCATTTTCACTGTTGTATGCACAAAATGATGGTGCATAATGAATTTTGGTCATGACAGCGTATCTTTGTATTTTGCTGGGATCATATTGCTATTAGAAGAAAACCAACGTGGCTCATCACCTAGTCCATGAAATTAGATTTACTTTATCAAGTATTACTCTACTCTTTAACAAAATATACCAATATGCTGGCCTACATCTAAAAGCATGGTGCTACAACTTTAGAATTGATCACCCAAGTGCAGGTTGTCGCGAACTAATATAATACTCCGAAGTCCGAGGTCGAACCACAGGGAATTATAATAAAAAACAATCACAAAAATACCAAAGAAAATTTGAGAGAACAATTTGTGTAAAAAAAAATTGTTGAGTTGAAAATATTGATTGGAGATATTTAAACAATAAAATAAAAATACTAGAGCATCAAATACTCTCTCTCAATTCCATACAATAATGATTAAAGACTCAAATATTAACTTGAGACAAGAATCAGATGTCGGTTGATTCGAGTAACAAATCAAGTAAGAAAACCAAAAGTTATAATCAAAAGATTATTCAGGAATCTGAATAATCATCCAATTATATTATTTTATGAAATAATGATAAAAACCTCAAGCGTGGAATAACCAGTTATTTACTCGCAGGGAAAATTCAAGCAATCGATGTACATGATACAACGATTCAAGGATTTTTACAGAATAAAAACTTTGCTAAGAAATCAGAAGTTAAATTAACAAAATATCATAAATTATTAAGCACAGAATCAATAACAGTACTATACTTCGTTGAGAGGTTTTCCCATAACCCTAACTTAGCCTTCTAGCCAGACATAACGAATTAAAACAAAAATAAAAAATGAGAAAAAGAATAATAGTAATCTCTAAATGAGAATCCCTATTTATATTAATAATAAATTCTAAGTACAGGTTGAAAGACATTCTTTTCAAAAAAAGAAGTCTTGTAAGGTTAAATCTCATGCATAAAATCTTTGGAACGCGGGTACAAAATTTGTCCAGACTTCGAGCTTGAATTTTGCATATTTAGAGGTTGAATCACGAAAATTTAGTGAAACACACTTTTGTAGCCTTTGAAGTCTTATTTTTAACCTCCAAAAATCAAGTAAATCAGATATCAGAGTCAAAAGTTATGACCAAAATATTGAAGACGTGTCAAATCCTTTTCTTCTTGGACACTTTTCTAATTCAACTCTAAATAAGTTTTCTTCCAACTTGGATTCTTATAAGGATTAAATTGCTGTCATATCTTCAAGTCTTCCTATTTTAATCTTGACTCTTCAATCCTTATCAATTCTAATTCTTCCTCTAGTGATTGATTCACTTGCATTATTCATTATTACTTTAAATCAATCAATTTACCTACAAAATAAACTAAATAACTAAAAAAAGTATCAAACTAAAAAATCAAGGAATTTAACACATTTAATCACAAATAATATGCAATTAATCAATCATTAAATATAATAAAATAACAATTTTGATGGTTAATCACACCCCCCAACCAGAATATTACTAGTTCTTAGTAATACATAGATTTTAAAATCTAAAAACTAAAAACAAAATATCCTAATAAAATAAAACACAAATTCACTTTCGTAGGACTCACGATTGCATTTAGCATATGCAACAAATCTTTAAACCCCTAGGTTCCCCCTAGTGGACGAGTATAGTCTCATGAGAGTTTCCAGAAATGATACCCCACAAACATCACCCTGTAATCAAATATCTAAATAATAATTTTATAACACAAATTTCTACGAGTTTAAGGACAAGGAGCCATCGCATCTTTGAGGTTTTCGATATTTGCGATTCTTCGGAGATCTGGTAACTTCGTTCTAATTTTTATTTACTTTAGTCATTTTATTGCAATTTATTTTATTTCTGTTTAATTTAGATTTCTGTTTTATTTAGTTTGTTTATTTGTTTTATGAATTCTTGGGATCGTGACTTAAGTGGTTGTTTAATAAGAGAAGATTTAGATACTCTGTTTGAAAATCTATTTGATTCATTTGATTCAAATCACTCTTCGCACACAATGACTGCTAATCCTAACAATAATAGGCAAAATGATCTTCCTGAACATGAGGATCATATTGATAGAGTAAGTAATCATGATGAGAACGATGTGGATAATTTAAATGCTAATCAAGGTAGGACTTTGCGTGAATATTTACAGTCTGCACGCCACACTACACCCTCATGCATTATCTTTCCATTAAATGCCCCAAATTTTATTTTCAAACTTGGCATGATTACATTAATCCCAAAATTTCTTGGCCTAGATTCAAAAAATCCATATCTACACATTAGAGAATTTGAGGATGTATGTGCTACGTTCCATGATCAGAATGTCTCAGTGAATACAATCAGATTAAAACTGTTTTCTTTTTCATTAAAGAAAAAAAGATAAGACTTGATTATATTCACTTAGATCTAGGATCATAGGTATATGGCCTGAGATGCAAAAATAATTTCTAAAAAAAGTTTTTTTCCACACATTGTACAAACTCTTTAAAAATGCAAATAATGAATTTTTCTCAAAACGAGTCTGAAAATTTCTATCAAAATTGAGAAAGATTTAAAGACCTTCTTGCATCTTGTCCACATCACGGTTATGAGAGCTGATGCGTGATAAGTTTATTTTATGAGGGTTTGAGCCCACAATTACGTTAATTTGTTGAGATGATGTGTAATGGTGATTTCATGAATAAGGAACTAGACGAGGCCTTTGACCACTTAGATCAGTTAGCTGAAAGTGCACAATCTTGGGATACCATATCCCAAGAACCTCCTAAAGGTAAAATTGCACAATCTTCATCATCTAGTAGGGGTAAATACTAGCTGAGGGAAGAAGATGACCTAGGAGCTAGAATTGTCACCTTAGTTAGGAGGGTAGAAGCCATGAAGTACAAAAGAGTTAATCAAGTTAACACAATGCCTGTTGAGGAGGTGTGTATAGAGAATTCACACAACTATAATTTTGTATTTTTAACTCACACATATTTCTATTCATGTTCTGTATCTTTATACAACCCGAGAGGCCTAATTTTAGGCATTCAAAATTATGTAACAGAAAAGTAAATTTACAATCACAATTAAAAGCAATATTTACAAAGATAGGAAACTGATCCTATAATCATGGGAGGCACAAAATCTGGTAATGATCATGTTGACAGCTAGGCTTGAGTTGACACTTATTTGAAATTATTAGTTTCCTTGATACGCCCCTACAAGAACGGGCTATCATCGGATAGGCCGATCTTGTCCTGTAGATAGTCTGTCCTTCGTCTGGAAAGTGGCTTGGTGAGTAAATCTGCGAACTGGTCATTAGTGTGAACATGTCGAACATTAAGAAATTTTTTCTCAACCAAATCTCACACAAAGGGAATGTCTATCTGGATATGCTTCATCCTTGAATGCTGGACAGGATTAAAACTCAGCTGGGTTGCACCCAAATTATCACACAAGAGTAGAGGTGGTTGTGGTAATGTAAACTTCATTTCTTGGAATAGAGATAACAGCCACATGGACTCTGCTGTAGCCGTTGCTAAAGCCCTATACTCAGCTTCAGTTGATGATCGTGCAATTGCACGTTGCTTTTTAGAGCTCCATGAAATGGGTGTGTGACCAAGGAAGAGGAGATAAGCTGAAGTTGATTTTCTATCATCCAAACTGCCAGCCCAATTAGCATGTGAGTGTTGGGCTTGAGGTTTTTCTGATATTAATGCCATGAAAAATGGTGTTCTTCAAGTAACTCAGCAGTCTTTTAGTTGCTGTCCAGTGAATTTGTGTGGGGAAATGCATAAACTATGAGAGTTTGTTGATGGCAAAGCTTATATCAGGTCGAGTTAAGGACAAGTATTGCAATGCTCCAATCACTCTACGATATTCGGTTGAATCAACGGATGGCGAACCATCTGCCAGTTGTAGAGAAACCG